GTTCTGAGAAATCTGATTAATGATTGACGATTACTTGGTCATTCTATTTTAGTGCGAAGTGGATGACGACGAAGTGGAATACGAGATACCGTGCTTAAACCTCGTGGAGCGTCTTCCTGGTTTGTGGGAACCATGGAAACCGTGTTCCAACGCGTCACCTCATGCTGGTTTACGCCTTTGTCCGGAAGAAGCGCCTTTGTATCACTTGACAGCGATATTTACGCATTTGCAGGTAATCAAATTGCTGAAAATAACATTATAATGAAAATATGATAAAAGAAGAATTGAAATATTAAAATTATTGCAGGCGCAACTGAGAAAAATCACTCAAACATGGGACCCAACAAATTCAGACTTGTACCAATGGTGGCGAGGATCGAAGCTGTGTCTTGGACCCTGCGAGAGCATAATCACCTTCGAGGAGGAGGAGCACAGCTGTGTGGAGATTCAAGTTCGTGGACCACGCGCTTCTAGTGCGCAGTGCTTCGCTCTTCTCAGCGTGATTCTGGACGCGATGGACACAACCATCGAATTAGTTGCGCCCGGAATGTTGCTCGAGAGGCATTGGCTGAGTCCTAGCCAGCTTCGAGAATACGATGAGGCACGTAAAGATCAAACGCGTATATTTATATACATATATATTATAAAAAAAAGATTGATTGTGTCTATTTTAATCTATGTATTTACAGGTGATTCACTCTTGGGCACCCGCCACCGTTATATCGGCTTTGATCGACAAAGGCCTCGAGGAGGCGACCCTTAAGAATCCCTTAAACGACCGTCAAGAAACCGTGTGGGAAATAGTGGGCTGCGGGCTGCCGTTAATGGAAAATTGCGTTCCCGGACCGAAGCAGCCTGTGAAGTACATAAAGCCCGCCGTGCAACGGCGACTCGCGCAAATGCTGGATCCGCCTGATCATCACGGAAGAGACTGGTGCTTGCTCGCCGTGAGACTCGGCTTGGGAGACCGCGTCGCCCAATTAGACAGCACAGTGGACAGTCCGACGTTAAGGTAAGAGCCACTTTCGAGATACAGCCGATTGCTGTAATGCATTCAATTATTCTGAAACTTTGGTTTGTAGGCTGCTGAACTGCGCGGGTGCGGAATGCACCGTCGGTTCTTTGGTGCAACAATTGCGAGCACTCGATCGCGAAGACGCCGTGCATCTACTGCTCACGTATACACCAACTTACGTGATGCTGATGTCTGTCGATTCCGAGACAGGGTCTAACCTTTCCAGATGACGATGTTGCTCTTATCAATGGCGCATTAACACTTTCTAGGTCTTTTTTCCCGAAATGTCGCGCGTTTGATGAATTCGTAGCATCGTCTTTCTATTTCCGCCCAATGTAAATCATACGTTAATTTGTTAAATATGTGTATATTTAACTTAACTTTAGCGATCGATCGCGTTGCACTTCGAGTGATATAAGAGGAATCTATGATCCATTTGTTGCGAACTGTTTTATATAATAATCGTTCTTTTTCTCTAATTTTTTTATTTTGTACTTACTGATCCGTGAGGCATTTGTTAAACCGCATTTACATATTGATATTTGCGATATGATTGCTATTTGCGATAATCGATTCCTTGTTACACTTTAATTTGCATTAATTAATTCCATGCATATTTGCGCTGAATACCTTTTATTTCTTGATAGTTGCGCTAATATTATGATAGCATATTGTTGTGCAATTTGCGTTTATCTCGTTCTATGAAGCTGTTGTGCCACGAAAGTGATGCATTTACATATTATAACGCGATATGATCGTATTTGATATCGATATTGTTTCGAGCGCTTTTCTTGATACGCTAATATGATCTTGATATATGATATACATGTATTACATCTTGCCAAAACTCTATGTCAATATGCACTGCTTTTTCAATACTTCGGAATATTTACGAAGCATATATGTATATATACGCAAAAGGAATGAAAACAACCATTCGCACAGTCTTCAGTCTTTTGAATATATCGTCTGTGTTTCGATGGTTGAGTGCATATTTGTACTGGATTATACTCTCGACATCTTTACCGTGTGTCATCTGCAAAAACTGTCAGAGCACTCATATACGATATTCAAAAGAAAGAAAAAAAAGAAACGAAGATTCAACAGTCGTAAATTAATTCTTCTGAAATATGACTGAACTGCATTACTTTTTATTGTCAGCAGCATTTACAATTATGAAAGTCTGCTTATAGATCCATATTTATAAGTCGATTAAAAAATCGATTTTACACAATAACTCATATAACAGTTAAGAAGTGTTTACGATTAATGGTAAAATCATTCACATCGAATCATCCGTAGAATTTCATTCGCGTAGCTTTCTTTCTCGTGCAAGATCTCATTGCAGGATCTCACAGTAGCTTACACGAAGAAGTTATGTGTTATACTCAGAGACTGTTGTAAGAATAAATTGGTGAAATTATTAAATATATCTTTCGCTAGATTTAATCGTCTTATTTATTGTTATTTCGTTTCCACCTAATATTACTACTTTAAAATTGTCATTATTCTCTGCTTATTTTGATATTCACAAACTTTAGGATTCACAAAACTAACTTGATAGCTCGTTGCACTCGCAGTTGTTAATTTGCTAAGTTTCTGCAGATTCTTGGATTTATAATTTTCATATTTTTTTACATTTTTTTATAAAACTAGGCCACACAAAATCCTAATGTTCTAAATAAAACATCTTTAGGACGTCTGGAACATCTCATCTTTGCCATCCGTGTAAAATCTCAGAACTTCGTCGTTCGAGGGATAATTAATTTCTATTAATTTTTAAATCCACACGGAATGGAGACTGGCTTGGTTGTTTATGATAAAGAATCAATTATGCGGTCGGCAGAAAACAGAAACGGGATTTTTGTGGGACCTAAAATAGCACGGCAACGGGCGGATATCGCGTTTCGTAGGCAGCCGCGACGAAGATCGGCGGAGAGCCTGGAGGGTAAGTTTCGGGACGACAGCCAAAGTCCCCAAACAATTATAGAATTGGATTGGATCGGGGAGTTCGAGAAGGTGGCCGCCGGCCGATCGGTTTCGTTTTATTTTAGCTTAGCTGTCGAAGGCATCCGGTTGTGCATTCTCCCCGTGGATCATCGCCACGATCACAGTGAGTGTTGTCCCCCTTAGTAGGAATTTCTCCGCTAGTCCGACATCACCGTGCGAAATTAATTAAACTGTCCGTCGAGTGGTTCGCGTAACGTGATCTATTAATCGATTGCTAATCGTGCGATTAGAGTGACGAGATAAATTGTCGAATGACGGAGTGAAACCTCGCGGTGAACAATAAAGGTTCTTCATTGACCACTTGATCTTCTTTTTTCTTGCTATATTTAAGGTACGAATTATAATCGAAATATTCTTTAAGAATCTATTCAGGTGATTAATACAATCAAATTTTATTTGCATTCTAATTAAACGACTCGACTTACAGCCTCCGATCGCGTAATTGTCAGTGTACTTTTTACCTTTTATTGTTGTCGCATTGCAGTTTTGCGGGATTGATAATCAATAAGGAGAAAGCTCGAAATCGCGCGTCACAATGGAGGCGATCAAGAAAAAAATCGCGGCGTTGAAGCTGGAGATGGACGCCGCAAATGAGAAAGTTGAAGTCAATGAGACGAAAGCGAAACAGGAAAATATAAGAGCCGACAGGCTGAACGATGATCTTAGGGACCTGCAAAAGCGATTGACCCAATTGGAGCGCGATTACGGTATCACCAAAGCTAATCTGGAGCAATCGACTGCCGATCTGGAGCAGTGCGAAAAATCTTGGTCTAAAGTGCGTAATAATGATTAATGGATTTTATTGTTTTTTTTAAATTTGAGTTCCTAAAAAAAGCAAATTTTTTTTAAAGCTGTGATAAAAATTTAGCACATTAGCTATTAACTATCTACAGCGATTAATATTTTAAGCTCCATTAACTATTTATCTAAAAAATTAAGGAAACCTTTTGCTTGTATTAATTAATCTCCTACAGGCTGAACAAGATCGTACCGTCCTAACAAAGAGAGTTCAGGAGATCGAAGCGAGTCTCACTAAAAAGGAAGAGCTGCGTCTTACTGCTCAATTAAAGCTGGCACGTGCAACCGAACTCGCGGACGACGCGCAAAGGTTCATAAATTCATTGTTATTCATTCATTATTATTATTATCTCAAAGTTTTTGAAAACAATGCACATTATAACTGTAAATTTAAATAAACATAAATCGGAAAAATATATTACGCACAAGTACTCGATGGAGCAGTGTTCCTTTTTTTTGTTTGTGTAGAATGTGCAATGTCCTGGCGGACAGAAGTCGTTTGGATGAAGAACGTATGGAGAAGCTGATGTCAGAACTGAAGGATGCAAGATTAATTGCCGAAGACGCCGATTCAAAGTCCGATGAGATAGCCAGGAAGTTGCAATTCGTGGAGGAGGAATTGGAAGCTGCTGAAGAAAGAGTGAAAACTAGCGAAGCGTATGTATATCTATTAAAGCACTTTTTTTTATATTGTTTATAAGTTTTTTTATTGAGAAATCTCGTTGTAGCAAAATCGTGGAACGCGAAGACGAACTCTTCATCGTACAAAATATTGTCAAGTCTCTCGAAGTATCCGAGGAAAAGGTATCGTATAATGCATTGCCAAAGTCATTATTTGCAATGTACTTCTCGATTATTTTTGAATTTCAGGCAAATCAACGAGTAGAAGACTTTAAGATACAGCTAAAATCTTTGAAGAAAAAGTTGAAGGAAGCGGAGAAACGTGCGATTAACGCTGAAAGAACAGTCAAGACGTTAATAAAGGAGGTGGATATGAAAGAAGGTAAGAAATATTGCGGGGGTGATTTTAATTTACCGAAAATATAGGAATAAAAAAATTTTTTATTTAAATCTAAATAATTAAAATTAAGAAACAATTTTTCTTTGGTGTACTGACGAGATTGCTGCTTGTTTCAGACGAACTTAAAGAAGAGAAGGAAAAGTACAAGGCAGTCTGCGACGATATGGATGCGACGTTCGCTGAGATGACAGGATACTAAAGTCCCGCGAATAAATTCGACTTGACTTTCGCTACTATTCTTTCGCTTATTCGCTATTATCTAACACGGACGCCTGATTATTTTACTGTGCTTAGATGCTATGCAATGCCAATTTGTTTTGTCATATGAAATGCCATAAGCGAACATTAGAAATAACCCGCTTCGCGCAATAATACACTGATGGACAAGGCATGCAATACCGCTTGGTACTATAACTGCTTTGGTTCGCGTAACACCTTGCCAAAATCGACGAGCAACTGGTTCACGGTCGCTCGTGATTTGCTGTGTCGATCGAACATTGACGATTTCGTCTATTTTTTTTCTTTCAGAAGCGTTGGAGGGACTTGTCGTTCGCTACACGTGAATGAGACCATGATATCACGCATCCTTTTTATTGTTCTATGTAAAATCTGTATTTTCAATAAACGATACTACAAATCCTTTTGTTTTCATTTTTTAAATATTTTTACTTTTCATATATTATGCTCTTAATAAATCTGTCAATAAAGCTTCTGAAGATAATTAAATATATAATGAATAGTACTTGATTTTTTATTTTATTTAGAAATTTTTTACTTAATATCTTTAATAATAAATTCTTTTTTGATAATTAAATATTATATTTAAAGTGGATCGAAGAAATACAATTTTGATAGAAAGAGATAGAAATTAAATTTTTATTTTTATTATGTATTGATTGAATAACAGTAGTTTATAATGCAATAAGGTCTGTTATTTTGAAAAGTACGTATTACACGAATTATGAAATCTATTATTGCTGTAAATATAATGCAAAATAAATATTTAATCAATCTATTTGCAATCGGCAATATTATTGGCACAACAAAGCACACTAGTGCTTTAAGAAGTCTAAGAATTCGTTTGAGCCTAACTAAAGCGACGCTCACTTTTGTTCTTTTGCATTACATTGAGCCTATAAAGCATTGTCCTCATCGGTCACTGAGTACAGTAACCTACGAGCATTGCATTTGGTACTTCGCTCGTTTCTGTAGCAATCTAAATTTCTGTTTGACAGAGTGATCATCATTTTTATGTACAATAAGATTTTTCAAAGTAAAAGTGTTTCAATTTAAAGTGCGACAATTTAAAGAATACTTCGGAATCGTTCGGACATTTGCAATTGGTTTTTTTAAAAGAAATATATAAAATAAAAATAATTATTGTGAAATTAAGATATTAAAAGTTATTAAAAGAATATCTACTCAATAAATATTTAATTAATACAATTACAGTTTTAACTAAGTCATTAAGATAATAACAATAATTTGATTAATTTAGGACAATTTCTTTGTTAAAAATTTTATTAAATTATCGTCATTAATTAGCTTGAAAAAATATTATCAATTTTATACAAAGCCATGAACGCTATTAAGAAACGTCTGCAGACATTGAAACTCGAGAAAGATCTCGCGATGGACAAAGCTGATCTGTGTGATCAGCAAGCGAAGGAGGCGAATCGAAGGGAAGAAAAACTGAAGGACGAAGTTCGCGAATTGGCGAAAAAGCTGGTACAAATGGAGCACGATTTGGAAGTGAGCAAAACCCAGTTGATAAAATCAAACAAGAATCTCGAGATGAAAGAGAGAGTCTATATCGTGGTTAGTGAGTCAGAAAAATACATTGCGCGTCTTCGATTCAATTCGCCTTTCGTCAACTGTAAAATTGCAGACGCAGTCGGAACTGGCGGTGCTGAATAGAAAAATGCAGCAGTGCGTCCAGAATTTAGAAAAGTCCGAGGAGCGACGTTTGTCGGCTCAAGCGAAGCTGACGCAGGCTACGGAAACTGCGGAAGATGCAAAGCGGTAAAAATATTTATATATAACATTTTTTAAATTAATATTATTTTGTTATATTTTATTAATTATTATAGGAAATACTTTCTATTATATGATAAATTATATTGATATTTATTATTACAAAAGTAATAATGTTATAAAAATTAAATTTGCTAATCCTATTGTCGTTTTTATTGCAAGCACAATTTTAAATGCTGTAATCGTAAAATAATACTTATTCAGCATCTGCAAAGTTCTGGAAAACAGAAGTAAGCAGGACGAAGAAAGGATGGACCAACTGATGGCGCAGTTAAAGGAAGCGAGACTCATCGCCGAGGACGCTGACACGAAATCGGATGAGATTTCTAGAAAATTGGCATTCGTCGAGGACGAACTTGAAGCGGCAGAAGAAAGGGTTAAATCGAGCGAGGCGTACGTATCACAGGCGATTCTCTAAATATAGAACTTGCATTCTTGTCGGCTGAATCCTTTCTCGTCTATTTTCAGTTTATTAAAATGACAATGTTTCCTATTTTTATAGATATTTTACCATTGCAAGAAAACTTTTCATATATGCATGTGAACATTTTTTAATTATTATTTTTGTGTTTGTCAAACACGCTAAAACTGTTTAAAATAAATTAGCAAGCTGACGCACAATGATGTTTTAGAAAAATCCTCGAACGAGAAGATGAGCTATTCATCGTCGGCAATATACTGAAGTCTCTTGAGGTGTCTGAAGAAAAAGTAAAAATTCTCTTATATTAATTATTCTGTTTTCTTTTGCATTCCAAAAAATAAGAAAATTAAAAGAGATTGTTTATTGCAGGCTAATCAAAGGGTGGAAGAGTTTAAAGCGCAATTGAAGGAATTAAAAATCAGACTAAAAGTTGCTGAGAAACGTGCTATAACCGCCGAAAAAACAGTCAAGATATTCACGAAAGAAATGGACAAGAGAGAAGGTGATATTATATGCGCTTTTATAGATTCTAAATTTTTATACATTTGTCAAAACAATATTCATTGTTATTGATAAATTATTTTTCATATTTTAGATTATCTTTTGAAAGAAAAGGAAAAATACAAATTTATCTGCGACGATTTGGACTCCACGTTTTCGGAGCTCACGGGTTACTGAAAGAATTCTCGTATAAAACGTTCAATGGATTATCTGTCATCAAGATTTGCATTGCATAAATATAAATGTAATCGCAAATTCTCACCTTTATTGAATTGTCTCATGAGGTTCGCAGAAAATTCACCCCGTGTACTTTACACGATATCAATTTATTTAATCGATTCTACGATCGACACAATGCATCGAAATGTCGTACCACAGATTTAATACAGTTTAAATTTAATCGCACAATTTTAATCGTACAACCTCCGATCGCAGAACGGAGAAAAAATTCGCGTGCTTTTCTTTATTTCACGGAGCTCTCGCGATGACTCTTGCGCGATCTCGCGATTGGACCGCACGTGCGCCGCACTCGCGCCTTTTCCTTTCTTTTTTTTTCTTTCTACAACGACGTTAATCGCGGTTACAATAACAATCGTCCATTTGATTTGTTCACTCGTCCCTATCCGCATCAATGCAGCAATTAAAGTGCATTCTCCGAGTTGCACGGATTATTGCATAAGGTAACGAGAGATGCACCGAGTTATGTCACTGCACCATCCTTCGAGGACCGCAAAATTCGCACAAGTCGCGCTACAACGTAAATCCGATAATCCGACAAAAATATCACACCGAGATCTTAACTTATCGAATCCAAAAAAAAAAAAAAAAAAAATGGAAAAACTGTGGAATTCAGATGATCTTTGTGAAAAATTGCGTAGTGGAAAATTCGTTGATCGGTTACTCGTGATTATTGAGAATTTTTTTCATTCGCTTCTTATACAATTATGAACAACGAAGAGAACTGGTCCCTGAAAGGTTACGATATTGAGATTGACAGAACTCGGTCGGCCCATGATGCAAGAGAAATGTACAAAAATCGTGTCGACGAAAATGTCCAGCGATCACCGCGCCACGAATCGCGCTTCGTCCTCCCCGAAGACCGCCTTATCGGATTAATCGAACACTACGAGTTTGATTGACGTGCTTCCCTTATATACATTAAACATACGCGTCGTACATGCTGCATGCACGCTCGTCTTGATGCCCGTGTACTCCAAATATATGTATTTATATACGAATATCTACGGCCTCGTCTTCGTAGTGTCGCGCACAGCTTTCCTTTAGCTCTTATCGGCATTGTTTCACGGTAAACGCGAAACTTTAAAACGTCGCTTACAATATTACGGCAAGATTAGAATTTCACAAGCCTTCCTGGACTTCTCTTTTTTTTCAAAATTATCGTCGACGTATAGAAAGAGACAGAGACATGCAATGAATTCGGCGCAGTCTCCTTAGTGTTCAAATAAACTAGGAAGTGGAAGTAGACACGTCATCACAGATCCGAATATAAAACACCGTATAGTATACTTAACTATTTAGAGTGACGCTTGTCGGCAGGAGAAACGGGGTCGAACGGTTACGCCGAATACGTCACTTCGATCTCGGTAAAAGTTACAAAAATGTCTTCTTCTTTTTTTTTTATTTTGTTCCGGAGAGTAAAGCGATTAAACTTTACATGGTAAATAGTCTGCGAAAATGGCAGTGTTGTGGAAGTATTGGAAGATCACGGCGTGTTAGGACACGCGCGTTTAATTAATTCTAACGGCGATTTCGTATTACTTTCGATTTCAGTCTGAGAAGGAGTTTCGCTGGTACGACTTGTCGCGTAATAATAAAATTTGGTCGCCTCGGATTACGAAGTCTCAAAGTGCGCGACATTAGAAGAGAGATTTATCAGAGAAAAGGAGAGAGAATATTCACTCGCGGTTCTCCTTCGAGCGCCTCGGCTGAAATTTACACAGCGGAAAACGAGATCGCCACGATCAGTCTCGCGCTCGATTTCTCCGATCGTATCGCGCTCCGCGCACAGGAAAACGTTCTACATAGAAGTCTTAGGATTAATAACGGACTTAAAGTAATCAACGGTGCTATTCGTACGTATATATAAACTTTACAACGCAACAGAGCCCAACAATCCGCACTTGGTGTCCGTGTTTTCTCCTTTACAATCCTTTATGTTATTTTATCCCGATCCTAATAACATGCGTACATCGAACATAGACGAGTAATTTTCAAGGTGGCGAGAGCTGCTTCGTATATTTTCAGGGAATAAATTATGTTAATGAGATAACTAATAATTTTCGAGACTATCTCAAGTGTATTTTAATAAAAATTAAAAGTTGTGATCTTAGTGGTAAGCTAGAATGCATAAATAGCATTGAAATAAATATTATGAAAATGACACGATAAAATTCGTGTGAATAGAAGGCGGTATTTTTCGGAAGGCGGAAGCAGATGCAGCCTGCCACCTCTTTTGTTCATGATACGCGAAGGACTCTCCCGTGCTCTGTTCGTACGATTAAGTCTTTGGTCTCGAATGGATCGCCCGCCGACGAACGACTCGCAGCGGTCTGAGCAAATTGTCGTTTTGGCACGCATTCGCATATGCGATTCGACGATCATCCACACATTCGGACTCACTCACGCACACTACGCACTCCACGCACGTGTATTATCTTGCGTCATATCGGAGGCAAGGAAGAGGAGACGCACGTATTTTTAAATACTTTCGACTAGCTCTCTCGGCTCGATCAACAAAGAAATACGTTCACAGAAGAACAGTTCCACGTCTTGCGTTTTCTCACGTTATAAAAAGCTGATATCTGTAAGAAAAATGTAAAAAAAAATTCCTTATTATAAATTATGTTACGTCGAACGAGTTATGATAATAATTTCATCAAAAAATACTAAGAATTCTAGATTCTTTTGGAAACAAATTTCTTTTTATTTTTAACTCGATGTACTCGGTTTGTTCTTCTGTACTCGCTCATCGTTGCCTCAAGCCCTCCCGCGATTTTACCTATGCACGCCTCTCCCTATCGATCATCGTTAACGAGTAGAATGTAATTTATCTATCATCGACAGAGACGTGTATGTGCCCGTGGCAGTCGAGCGGCTGTACGAGTGGCCACGAGGAAATCCTCGACGAGACACGAAGGAAAGAGATTTATCAATTTACCTAATCTTTGGCCCACGGGGGTTGAGAGAGGGAACGAAAGGGGGGGGTGGCTACCGTGGGGAAGTAATACCGCGCCGGGAGGGACAGATTAGACGGCGATGGAGTAATCCGAGGAGGGATTATTTTGAGTGCTCGGCCGCGACCACAGAGAGCTCCTCAGACCCAGTTTCAGCTTCTTCAGTGAGTCAATGTCGCACTCGGCCTCGCTGAGCTCCGGTCGGTCCCCGTTTCCCGGCGTGGGCACAACCGCCCCCTGATTGCCGACGAATGCGGTCTCCGCGACCGAGATCGGCGGCAGTAGCGTTCGTAGAGAGCTCCTGCTGGGAACATGCCATCTTACGAGACAGCCAAGAGAAACGAGACTTACTGCTGGATGTTGCGAATAAGCGTTTTGCGATGAGGAATAATCGAGCAATTAGGTGCCACAAGGTATTTCATGAATTTAATTTAATAATAAATCGTTATTGTATTAATAATTTTAGCAGATAACTTGTCACTTCTGATATCGAAATTAAATAAAGAAAATGTAAACTTGACAAATATGGCACAAAACTACTCAATTTGTATTTTATTTTTGTATGCTTTGACGCAATATGAAATTTTCGAGAAAACTGCAAATTGAAGAATTATGGCACCTAGTGATAATGATTTGTATCTGCTATTTGTATCATTACCTTGATCGCCCCCTTCGTGGCAGTGACTTCTGTTCGGACATGGGAGAAATGTCCGAAGATGTGCTCGACGTACCGTGATAGATAAAGTCCGAAACCGCGCGAACTAAAACAAGAATTTGTTGAAAAACGAGTTAAAGATTTTAATAAAATTTGAAACATACTATGTTTCAATTTGCCAGCGTCCAGTTGATTCGACGATTCCGTGCGCGAGCTTATCAGTTGATCCGGGTCAGACTCGCTCTCGTCGCTCTCGACATCGCCCGGGGTTTGCTGCTTTCTCTGCTGTCGCCTTCTCGATGAAACACTCTTCATGCTCTGCACAAATTGAATTATTGTGCCAACCGTGATGGGATTTATAACACAATTATTTTGATTTTCATTTTAAATTACATTGAATTTTTTATTCTTATTTTTAATCAGCAAATATTTATATAAAATAATTATATTGACATGCTATATTATTCAAAATTTGTAATGTTTTAAAATGGATCAAAATAATTGATGATGATGATTTTAGGAAATAGAAAATGTGAAATTTACCGTCGCCGCTGGTGGAGGGCTTGCGCATCCTTCGGTCATGGCGTGTTCGTGATACATGAAGCTGTGAAGAAGAGTGTTGTTCGGGTGAAGACCGGCCGCCGTGGCCTCCGCCGCGCCTCCCAGTCCTCCCAATGCGCCCAACCCTGCCAGGCTTCCCCCGCCACCCTCCGAAAGCTGGAACGTAGCGTACGGCGAAATGTCCTCCGCTGTCTCTGTAACCCACCAGAGGCATTGCCTACCTTTCAAATCGCGTCGGGCTAACTGTTTCAGTCGTCCATCTATTTCGAGCAAAATCGCAAACATAGGTATACAAAAATTTGCTTTTATTTTCAACTTAATAATCATTTTTTTAAGGGAGAAATCATTTTTAAAAAAATTGGTTCAAAAATAATAATAATTCGCTTAATTCTTTACATATTTTTTTAAAAACACTTTCTCTTACAGCTTCAAAGAATTTGGTTTTACTGTTGAGCGGCCGGCTCTTACCTGCGCAACAGTAATTATAATACCAAACCTGGCGATTGTCCGTATCATAACAAAGGTTCACCTGGAATCTTGTCAGGTCCTGCACCTGTATTTGCAGCTTGTTGCAGGGCCACTTTGTGTATCGTGGCGTAGTAACGCTCCCGCTGCGTCTCAGCATTCTGTTGATTTTCTTGCGACTCCTTCATTGGTCGTTGCACTTGGCCTCCTAAATACCCTGGCAAATGCATCTCTTCGTTAATTCTTCTGATTTTATTTTTTTCATATATTAAAAAAAAATATTTAAAAATATATTTACACAGTACTGCTAACAAAATTGTTTTAAATTGAATAAAAGATATAAGGTTGAAAAATATCTTTACGTTATAAAAATATGTTTTATGAGAAAACATTGAGATATAATAATTGCATAAAATGGACTCACTGTTTCTCCAGCGTATAGCGACGATTACCGCTGCGGCGACTAACGCGGCAGTCGCAATGATCAACGGCAGCATCACCTTGATGTCCGAGTAAAACGGCATGGTCGACGTCATCCCGCGCTTCGATAGTCCTGGGGGCGGTGTTTCTGTAAGGTTACAGAAACACAGCGCTTTTGGATATAAGTGTCTATGTAGCAGTTTTATTGGATGGCGCGGACGCATCTTCAATTATTCGAGATTTTCCAATAAAACTTGTATTATTCTTATACTAGTGTTTTCCTTATACAATGAATCATTTCGATCTCATCTTCAAACTTACCACCCTCCTTCGTCAATGTCACAAATGTGAACTCCGCTTGATTGCTACCGGCCACGTTATGAGCCTCGACCTTGAGCTGATAGACCGAGCTGGGTGTTAAGTTCGTCACGACGAATCGTCGTTGCATTTTCACATTGTTCGACACCAAAGTCCAGTGGAATTCATTTATCGGCCTGTACTGAATGACAAAATATTTGATGGGGCACCCGTTATCAGGCCAGACGTGTAATCGAAGCACCAGAGTGGTGGAATTCGGGCTGAGGAAGGCAGCTGATGGTGGAATCCCCGGAGCTTGACCCTGAGTTCGAACCGACAGCACCGGGGACGATGGACTGCTGCCGATTTTGTTGTGCGATGTTAAATACAATTGATATGTGTTGCCGCATAGGAGTCCCTGTTAAGAAATTACAATTATTACTTATTGTTCGCAATAAATCTAGACGAGTAAAAATTGTTAAAGCATCTTTAAAGATTACACTTTTATTTTTTAATAAAATGGCAATTCATTTATTAAAATACGTCTATTTCTAAAGTCGTGCTTTAATTTTAATTGTTTGTCGAGATTTTATTATCATATTTGTTATGTTATAATTATCTGCTTAGAGACATTAATGTTTTTTCAAGAGAAATTATTATTGAAAATTAATCTGAGATATGTCTACCTTCAGTTCGTGACTGGTAGCGTGCCGAGATAACTGTAACTCATCGAGAGTACCGTGACTAGTTCGATAATACAACGTGTAGCCCGTCAACGGTGCACCGCCGTTGTGCTCGGATTTCCAATGCAATAACACACTGCTTGACGTAGAGCTGGTTACGTACAATACGGGAGCACTGGGCGGAACTGCAACAGTCGATGTTATTCTAGACTGCATCAATATTCCGCTAGTCGCGAAAATTGAATCTACGTAGTGAATTGATTTTGCGATTAGCTGTTATTAAAATCTGTTTAGCAGAATATCAGCATCGTAATTATGTATCAATAATTACATCACAATAATATCGCAAGTAAATTAGTGCATAATTGTTTTACTATCGTAATATGTACGTACAGTATTTTCTTGTAAAATTTCTGAATAAAATTTGTCTTTCATTAAAATGGGATGCCTCGCAAATAAAAAAAAGAGAACAAAGCATTCTTCGCAAAAGATTACCTTGCACCGTGAGAGTGTAATGCAGTTTGTCGCTGCCTTGAGAATTTTCCACCTGGCAGGTGTAATTTCCGCTATCTTGCGATTGCAGATTCGATAACACCAGTTCGCCGGTCGTCAAGATCTGCACGTTTCTCGCGGAATCGGTGCGTATCTGCTCCGTATTACCCTTGTACCACTCTCTCGTCGGATCGCCGACCGCATTGCAGGCCAAAGTGGCCGAGCCCCGCCACGGACGCACAACATGCCCGCCGAAGGATGTGATCCTGGCTGGCACTCGATTTGTCGGCACCTGCGCCGCCACCCTCGAACTCTGACCCTCGCCTACGCGAGTACTCCCGGTCACCCAGAATTGGTATTCAACGTGCTGTTGCAAGTCGGTCGCTTCGAAATACGTGCTTGTTGCTGGCAACGTCTTTTTGCCGTGATTAAGTTCCTCCCGTCCGTCCACGACTCTGCAAAATTTTGTTTTTTTTTTTTTGTTATCTTTACAAAAATTTGATAAGAATTTATTTCCATGGAGATATTAAATTGCGAGAGTGGCATTTTGGTCGAGTAGATACGAGGCAGACGAGATAATACAAATTTGATTTTTATTACCTTGTATAAAGATTATATTTTGTGATAACTCCGTTCGGTTCGAGTGGCGGCAGCCACGAGATGAAAAGAGCTTGCGGCGAGCTCACGACGACTTTGATATCAGCCGGGCTGCCTGGCACTAAAAATAAAAAAAGAATGCTTTGTTAAAGTTCTATCAAAAAAGATTAACTTCTGAGTTATCTAATAGTAAATCACCATCTTCCTCCGTCTGACAGTAAATCGTTGCGGACGGTACACCATCGCCAACTCTAGTATAAGCCAAAACTTGGATGGTGTAATTAGTGTACCGTCTGAGCCCAGTCAGAACTGTCGTTAGAGCGCTTGTTTTACGCACCTATAATTGCGGAAATAATTAATTACAATTATAAGAGCACACGAAAACAACGATCGATTTGGGAGAATAATCACCTCCATCTCATCCACCACTCGCCACGCATCCGCCAAAATCGGTTCGTAATTCAATTTGTAGCCTTGAATAATGCCGTTGCTGTGCGTGTTAGACGGAGGTTGCCAGGACACTTGCAAGGACTGAGAAGTGAGCGCAGCGCACCTCACATCGTCCGGTGGCATACTCGGAACTACAAACAGTCGTTTTTGGACAATTGTTGCATTTAAAAAATTTATCTTAGAAACAATAAAAAGGAAAGATTTAAAAGAAACAATTAAAAATTCAAGACATTCAGTAATCACCGTCTTCCAAGGTTTGCGTAAGCAATGGCTCGCACAGTGGTCCTGGCCCGACCTGATTATAAGCTTGAACGACGAGGGTGTACCTAGTGTAGGGCCTGAGACCTGTCAGCCGAAGTTCCCCGCCGCCTTCCTCTCCGTCGCCCGACACAGAGCTGTAGTTGTACGACGGGTTGTTCGAGCTGAAATAATTGCAGCCTGATTACGATGCTCATTCTTCTTATTCTTTGTTTTTATTTTATTTTTTCAGATGCATTGGATTAATCTTATTAAAAGTTATATTTAATTGCATTTAGATTAGTCGCTTTTTAACAGCATTACACATTTTATACAATTAATCTTCTTCACGTCGATGTCGTATTACCTCGTTTCTCTGTAACCGACGTTGAAGCCCTGTATGTCACCGTGACGAAGTTCCGGCAACGGCGGCGACCAAGTGACGAGAATCTCGGACGAGGAGAGAGCTCTAGCCGCGAGATTCATCGGTGGACCGGCTGGCCTCTGCGGTTCGGTCTTGACAACGAGTTCCGGCGAAGGGACAGATCGACCGGCCGGGCCTTCCGCTATTACGCGTATAGTATACCGCGTGGCAGGTTTTAAATCGTCAATCAATGCCGCATACGGCAAGGGCGGCCCAGTGAACTCTTGCTGTTGCCATATCCCGCCTAGCAGTTTCGATTTCAAGACGTGGAGATTTTATTTAGATATATTTTACATTGCAGAAAACGATTTTTTATGAAAAGATAAAGTAAAGTTTTAAGAAATTCATCGGAAGAATTTGAAAAAGAAGTATAAGAATATAAAATATATTTTTTCAACGTTAGGATTATTTTGTTACACAGATAACGTTATTATTATGTGGATAAAAAAATTGTGCTCTCAACAAAATGGAAATTAATCAGCAGTGCCTTCTCTTTAAGACGAGTTTCACATTACATCCATTTAACGTAGTTAATTGACTTTACCTTCGCCCTCTTTGTACTGAAGAATATATTTGGTGACCTCACTGGTGTCCTGTGACTTATGCTGCCACTTAACGTTAATACTACGACTCGCCACCATGGCAGTTTCTAGAGCACTTGGCGGTTGTGGCGGTTCTAAAACGTGTGGAATTCGATATTAATGCACTTCGCATGTCGATATATAATATATATATATATATATATATATATACACATGCATACGTGCATATAGCGCAAGAGTATCGCATTCGGAATTCAATTATTCTATATCGAGGGCGAATTGACCTATAAATCCTCTGTACCGTACCTTGCACGAGGAGTTGCACCAACTGCTGATCGCGGCCGTAAAGATTGTTCGCCTGACAAAAGTACGCACCGCTGTCGGCGGCTTCCGCCGACGAGATTTGCAATTGCGCGATGACACCGTCGGGCGTTACTTCTTGCTTCACTGCGACGCTTCATAGTGGATTCGTAAAGGTTCATTAAAAGCTTTGTGAAGAGCACAACTATGAAATATTCATGTGCCATCGCACCGCTAGCGGTATGCTAATATTTTAGATAAAAACTCCCTTTGAACAACTCGTTTCGATATTCTCTCCTTAATAAACGGATAAACGGATTATATTTGTTGGAAACGTAAAACTGTCCCCCTTCATCTAGTATAAGTGATACATTTATTATCACGCTTTTACCAATACAATGTTATCCGCAAAACACTCGGCTCTGTATTATGTATTGTCTCGGTTTAAAAATAAAGCAAGTATCGCTCTTTCCACTGCGACCTCACACTCGCAAATGTGGACTGGAAATTTTTTCTCGTCCATTTAAAAATTCTATCAATATTGACCCTCTAGATATGATGCTTTCGTATCATCCATAAGCGAGTGTACTTTATATGCCTGCGTAGATTATCAGTTCGAAATGCATTAGTAATACCCTAATCGTTGTATCTCGCTTGCTAAAATTCGTTCGACTGATTTATTGGGAATAATATACCGCTCGCAACAAATACGGTACATTGAACGACATGATAATTTAACGAGATTTGCAGAGTGACAGAGATTTTGCGCTGTGCGTTTTAATTAATTCATTCATTTCACTCGCGCGTATCGATTATCGCGTCCGCCGCTGAACCCTGTTCGATGATTCTATGTACGGTTAATCTCGACTTACCGATAATTCGTCGAGGGATTCAGCTCGCTTTTGCCGCCTTTCAGCCAGGTAACGGTAACCGGCTTATCGCCGTGTACCTCGCAGTGTAACGTCGCCGTATCCCCTTTTTTCACGGTGACAAGCCGCGACGGCGCCGCGAAATATGGAGACGCTGCAAAGCCGCGTGAAGCAAAGTACAGAAAAGTATGAATCTGGCAATAAGATTTGATATGAAAATTAAATGCGCGTACGTTCGAGCACTCGTATCACGCTCGCGTTATCGGAAAAATTTAATTGCAAAACGTAAAGCACATTTTACTCACAATTAACTTTTAATTGCACGACTTTGCCTAAGCCGCTTCCTATGCCGTTGCTCGCGTGACACAAATAGAAACCCTCCCTGTCTTCCTTCACGTGTTGCAACAACAGAGTGCCGTTGCTGAGAATTTTGGTGTACGTTCTCTCACGCAACTCCTCGTAATCACCGGCTTTGCTTCCTGTTGAAAAAAAAATGTATATACTGTGTAAAGATCAATCGCGACAGTTCAAAGTTCGATATATTTGATATGAAAAAATTTCAATATATTTTCCTGACCTAAAAAAAATTGGTAAAAGATATATTTAAAAATAGAATTTATTTGTTCTCTACGTTGAAAGATAAATATAAATATTTGTATATCGAAATTGCTACATTCGTATTCGTCTCACCGGTGGCTTTTTTCCAGACAATCGACGGCGTCGGTACGCCCTGCGCCTGGCAGTGCAGCGCGACGTGACGATTCCTCTCGACGCTCACGTCGGTCGGCTCGACGATCCATCTGGGCGGCACTGCAACGTTAGAGAGATCCGCTTTACGCAGGTCCATCGTGAACGCCAACCTTCAACTTATTATGTCTTGCTTTACTGGTCGTTAGCGATTTAGAGACAGGTACGTTTCGATGATGTAGAAAACGAGAGAGTCGTGAAAAAAAGTGCGGCGCCGAACGAAAGAGAGCTACGTGAGCTCGTGTTACTTCGACGCGCAACGCGACTTTACAAGTCAAAAAGATCGAATCTCAAACGAACCGATAAAACAAGCGTGAAAGAGAGAAAGAGAAAAAGAGATGTACAGAGAGATAGTATCGCGTAAGTGTGAAATTATCGACGTTCTTTTGGATCTTCCTTTGAAATACACGCTCTCTACTTTCGCATGAGTTTTCAGCGGTTCTTGAATTCGCGCGCGCGCGCGCTCAACGCTTACGTACACGACAGTTAGCGTGATGAAGAAACTGATAAAGATAAAGACTGAGAGAAGACAAAGTGAGAATGAAGGTAAGTATGTGGGTGGGGTAGAGTTGGAGAGAGTCGAGGGGGTCATGAATCGATGCGAGGCGTATTTCGCGGGTGTCAATTGATATATATATATATATATATATATAAAGTCTCGTGTCATTCGCACGCAGGCAGCAGCAGACAATTCACCTCTATATTCAACACCGCAACAGGGGTAACAAGGAAAGTGACAGGGGCGTGGACAATCGATCATCTATTATCTGCAACGTTTAAAGTTCTTCTAGGAGCTACCAACAAGGACAAACGGAAACGAAGGCGTTTTCTATGATATAGCGCGCGACAAAATATAGTATACGTATACAGCTCTCAGCTCTTGATAAAAAAAACAAAAAAAAAAGGAAAAGAGAAATGAAATTCGCAGATGCTCGGTGCCGTTGAAATTTTCTCGACTCGGCATGAGATTTTGCGTCGCGCATCGATTTGTCGACAAAGTCTCGTAGGGGGTGGTTTCTTGTACGATTAGGTGTATTGTTTGGCAAGGTTCTACTTCTTACTGTGGTGAAAAAAACGCTGCACAAGCGAGATACTGTGAGTGGGAGTATCCAACGTTTTACAAGACGGCAAAATATCGGCCACGCATCGATCGCGTGCGACAATATATAATATATATAGATAGATAGATAGATATATAGACGTATATGTATATAATATATATATTAACGTAACGTGAGTATACAAATATATATACTCGAGCCCAAACGGTGGCGTGTGAAACAAGTAGAACTCTTGGAAAAAGGTACGCAAGGGCGGGGATGTGTATAGGTGCGGACCTCGTGAAGGAGGCGAATAATAATAATGGTAACAATAATAATAATAACAATATATATGTATATATAAGTACCCGCGTCTAACGACTAGTTCGATAAAGTACGAATTTAATTAATAATATACGTACTACTAGCCTACATTACCGGTCACCGACGGGACGGAGGACGCGCGCTCGAGTTCTCACGAGTTCGAGCTCTTTATATCTAGTTTCTGCGCTTGAGAACTTAAGACTCTATCGGCCCCGGTGAGCTTAAAGGCTTTTTATTGCGCTCGCGGGACCGTTACTTTTCCTACTTTTACGCGAACGGGAGCTTGCAAGCGCGTTACGCGAGTATCCGGCGTCCTCCTCCCGTTGCGACGAAAGAAATATAAAAAAGAGGAAGACAGACAGACAGACAGACAGACAGAGAAAGAGAGATAGAGATAGTGATAGCGAGATAGAGAAAGAGAAAGAAAGAGAGAGAGCGAAAGAGTGAAAGAGTGAAATAGTGAGAAAGCATGCAGAAGTGAATAAAGGTTGCCTTCCAACGAGCCCAAAGAAGAGCCAGCGCAAAAGTCGGTGAAGATTTGGTCGTGAGCGTAGTGGCACGTGCTCGCACTCGGGTGATCAAGATACTTCGATATATGTATATATAATTAAATATAATTCAATAAACACACACAAAGAGAGATATACACGTAAAATGTGGCAGGCAGAGTGATCTACGACTACGTAAAGAGATTCATGCCGAATAAAAAATCGATGCTCACATACACGCACGCACGCAGGCGAGAAAAATTTCTTTTTTTGTTTTTTCATTTTCATTAATTGTGGCTGCACTTGTTGCTGTTGTTGTAGTAGTTGTTGAAACGAGTAAAAAATAAGGAAAGGTGCAAACTGTTACCTTTATGATTCGGTCAAGTCAAGCAAACCTCGGGGGTCCACGAGATACCGACGCATTCCCAGAGAGCCAAAGCAACGCAAATGTAATACACACTGTGTCTGGGGTAAAGAAGGAGTTTCAGAGTGGATCTATGGAAAGGACTCGACGGGTTGCAGGAGTAAGGGAGTGGGCGAGAGGAGCGTATGGTGGGTGATCGTAATGATCGTGATCTCGCCCGGAAGTGAACGCGCTTGTTACTCGGCATTTCGGTGGTATCGCCTTTAAGCTGTAGCCAACGCGGACTACAGTCTCTCTAAACGTCACATCCTGGCGAGAACACGGCTATGATGAACTATGGTGAAGCGGGAACCGAGTCAATAAGCGCGGTGATATGTCGATGGCGGTGGATGATGAAACGGCGATTGAGACCGGAGAGCGGACGATAGGGATCTGTGGGACGGATGTTGAGAGGATGACGTTTGACCCCGACGAATCTCGAAACTTCACGTCGTTACGGATACCTACGTTGCAAACTATTGAAAATTCACTCAACTCGCGCGATATGTCCGACGTCGTTTCACGGTTCGTCAAATTCTCTCAATTTCGTCCCGAAAGATTATTGAATTGTCGACGTGTATCGTTCACACAAACCTTCAATTAACACACATATTAGAAAATAAAAATGTTGAATGCACAATTTTATAATGCAATCGATATTTTTCTAAATTTAGAGAAGAAAAATACAGATTATAAATCTGATTGATTTTAGATCGGGGTGAAACGATCAAAGACTGGCGATTTAGGCGATTGTTAGGAACGCTAGGATAAGGGTCGGCGATCATCTAGTTACCTTTTACCTGTAGCTTGGCCGTGTACCTGACCTCGGCGGCGGGGTTCGCGGCGACGCAGGTATAGTCGCCGGAGTGCTCGGCCGCGAGATTCGTTATACTGAGGAGGCTCGAGTAGGAATCCAGTTGGGAGACATTTGCGACGGAGGCCAGATTAGGCGGCAAGGGAAAAGGATTTTGGCCGTCTTTCAGCCAGGATATGGTTAGGGGTGGATCTCCCGCCGCGACCCCGCACACCGTCCGCGTCCGCATCCCCTCGGATAGTCCCTCTTGGAACGTAAATGGCTCAATAATAGGGGGTACTGGAAAAGGTCAAGAGAGAAGAGAGAACCATACGTGAGAGCAAGAAAAAGATGGCACCAAAAAACGTAAGAACCTTGTAATACCAGGTATAAGTGTTCTTTTTATATATATATATGCATAAATATATATATATATACGATGATAGTAAGTGTGTATATATATATATATTTTTTCAGTTTTTTCTTTTTTTTTGCGCTTCTGTTCCATCCGCTTCATATAGACAGTAGTACGTCCATGTATATGTATATAGATATATATATAGAATATATGTATATATGTAGAATATGTACAATAGAGGCAGTATAGTAACGTAGCAATGTAGAGGAGAGAGAGGGTGGCCCCGCCGCGGACCTGCCCCTGACGCCCTCACACCTTATACACTTAAATTGGCATCGCACACTTGCGCGCAGCATCCGATCCTTTCCAATGTAAGAGCGAGCGTTCGTTTATTTTTCCGAAACTACCGCGTAGTTTCCTCCAAGGTATTTAATTAATATATATATATATATTTTGTAATTAAACGTAATTCTTCACAAAGATTCTTTATATTTCTCAAGATAAAAAGTATGTAGTGCAAAGTGATGGATATCTAGCTGGAGGAAACGCGCGGCGTCGCTCTCGAGAAGTCGAAGTGCGACTTCCCTTCGAGGACGTGTGGAAGAGGTAGAGGCGGGTATCGTGCATAAGGAAGAGTCACGCTAAGCGTGAGCAGTCTTTAATTACAAGTCACCAAATCTCTACGTTCCTTGGTGACGCCAGCGAGATCTCGTCATGGATCGCTCGGAAGCATTCGCCAATCATTCCGAGACTCTATTCTTCCGCGTTAAACGCAACTATTTGCAACGGACTCTGGCGCGTCCGGTATGCGCAGCAGTATGTAACGACAATTGTTAATTAGAACGACGCGTAATTTCCACATGCAACTTCCATCTGCGCAATCCATTTTCGAGACCGGCCGACAGTGATTCGCACGCACGCAACGGACGCACACACGCACACGCAAAACTCGGGCGGTCAGGCGGTCGTCGGGCAAATTGTAGGGGGCCTAGAGGAGGATTACCATGAACCACAAGCCGCTGCGTGTGCGATACCTCTGCGGCCACATTACGGGCCACGCACGAGTAGTTGCCGTTGTGATCTGGAGATAAACTTTCAATCATCAGTATGCTATTGTACTGGTCCATATTGGTGACAGTGACGCGCTCCGACGGCCCCATCGAGCGTCCGTCCTTCAGCCACGTGATGGACAGCGGCAGATCGCCTCTCGTCACTGAGCACGTCAGGGTGGTGCGCTCGCCGAGATGCAGGTCGCGATCTGCCGTGAACGGGCTAATTTTTGGGGGAACTGGAATAATAACAACGAGACAGCTCGTGAGCTCACGTACAATACATAGACACGGCAATCGGTAATATGGGCGTGTGTGTGTCTCGGCATCCTCCCGCGATCCTAGAAATTGTGTATCGTTCCTTAACTCCGTACAACCTTGTTCCTGAAGGAAGAGCTCCTCCGCTCTTCCGACCGACCGTTCGATAGTTTTCAGATTCGGCCTCTCTTCCGGTGGATCGCCCTCGGATTCATCTCGGTATTGGATTATCGAATCGTCGTCCTTTTCGGTCGGAACGGTCCACCTGCGACAATACGTTATCATAGGAAAGTAGAAATGAGGCCTTACCGATCACTGCGACGTCGCCGGATCTTCTGGCGCTGTGACCCTGCTTGTTCCTCGCCCAGCATGTGTACACGCCGGCGTCGCCCTTCTTCTGTACGCTGCTGATCTGCAGAGTGCCGTCCGGAAGCACCTTCTGACGCAGGTCGTCCGGTAACTCGCGGTTCGCCCTTTCCCATTTGATCTCCTCGATCGGATATCCGGCTACCGGGCACTTCAAACGGAGAGTCTCGCCGGCGACGGCGGTTACTTTTGGGATCAGACGTATATACGGAAGTCCTGGATGGAAAATTTCACGTTTCCTCGTTTATTTACTTTCCTGCGCTTTAAAACGGCTTCCGAGTAAAAGTCGGTGAACAACTGAATAACCGGTTGGGAAATATTGTTATTCAATTCTTTTTCTTTGTGAAGAGAAACATTATTTTTGCAACATACTTTTCTGTTTCGAATACTAAAACTTAAATTATTCATGTTTACTTCAATTTATAATATATTAGGTTGATGCAAAAATAATTGCGGTTTTTAACCGATTTAAAGTAACAAAAAGCCGCAATTATTTTTGCACCAACCTAATAATTACATAACAACTGTGATAGCGCCAGATTTTTATTTCCAGAGTAATATAATGATATTATAGTTTATGTGATTAGTGTGATTTTCATTAATGATAAGCTGTTATTCATTAATGCGTCTATTCGATAACAAAAGTCGAGAGGTGAGCCGAACGTATGATTAATATTGGAGTGACCGCGGCGCGCGAAATTAATTGTTGGTCGATTGGCTGTGGCCATGAGGTATTAACATATATATCTGTATATTATATGCTATCTAAAAATGTTTTGTTGCAGACATGTATGCTGGTTTAACTTATAAATTCGGCGCGTTGCTGGTTAATAATTGTTTTTGGAAGGAAGAATTAGTTTATTTTTTATAACTAATCGATAACATCTCACACATCAAGTAATCGAAGTAAATAATTCCGCGTTTGTCAAAAATATTAACGTCTCAATTTTCAAATAAAATGTCTTTTCTATATTGACAGTTGTATTGACTCGTGGCGATTATATCCCCGTCTGAGACGGAATTGTTCGACGAAGCGCGTGATTCTCACGGTCATCGACCTGTTATTGCCAGTAAGCTGATCTGTTTGTCAGCTGATCGTAATATCATAATAACTTACACGTCCATATACGTGCGTTGCGTTCAGTGAATTTCGTGAATTTTTGGATTTTCAAAATTCTATAACTGGATAAAAATTTGATGTAGCAATATACAATAAAAGCAGATCTTTTCTGCTTCATGTTCCGTAGATATTTACTTCGTGTACGTGATTTTATCAGAACATATATGTATGTAATTTATTTATACATCTATGAGAATAATTAACGAAAATTACGTACCGTAAACGTTGAGTCGTGCAGCATGCGTCACCTTCCCCGCGCGATTTTCGGCAGTGCAAGAATATTCACCTCCGTCTTCCACCATAACATGGCTTATATTGACGTGAGATATGACATCACCATGCACCGTCACGTATTGTCCAATGACGAATCTTGCGTAACAATCAGTGAATTTTTTATTTCAAAAATTATTTTTTAACTAATCCGTTCATCAAATTTCTATTTCACGTAAAATATTTTTTGCAAAAAAAATTTTTAATACATAATAACAATTAAATCAACAATTTTACTATCACAATAGTGTGAAAAATATTATGAAACTGTGTCGTAAAAGTGCAATAAAAGTCGAGACAGTGAAAGATACATAGACTTTTCGCGAGAAGCATTTCGCATTTCTATTTATTATCGATCTGACGTGCTAGACAGCTCTCAAACCGACGCGATCTCATGAATCTCACGGCAAGCGCGAATGCCCGTTGTTATCGTTGCGCGTTATCGTTTAGAATTTGTCACGTTCTATCTCGATCAGCGGAGGATGAAACCATAGCCACGGGAAACCGCGTCCAGTAGCGAGAGCGAAGGGATATGAGCGGCGGGGCAGAAAGCCGGTGATAAAATGGAATACGGCGAAGCCTGCTAGAGATGGTGGATCCTTTATGCCGATCAGTCGTTAAACTACACATGGGGCTCGCGCATGTATGGACGTGTCCAACGACGTGGCTGCTCTTCTCGAAGCAGTATACGATATCTACGCGATAAATATATTCTCAGCAGGCACCACGCGCGAAATTGCCTACACACGTATACGACACTGATGAATTACGGTTCAATTACGACAGTGACGTAAATGGTCGTCTTACTCTTACTAAGGAAATATATTTTCGGTTATTATGAGTTATTTAGGATATTTATTTTAAGGACTTTAATCTTGATAATTTTGCTTATCGCCTCTCCAAGCTCTATTAATAACGCCAATAACATTGATCAATAAAAAGAAGCTTTGTCATAAGAACTTAAATAGATGAATGTAATAGTACTTTTTGCTGAAATTAAATATGTTTTTAGATTTTTTCTATCAAGCACAGTTGTTAAGTGACACATGGTTTTAGTTTCTCAACATGTGAGAATATGAATTTCAGCTTGCACATTTCTTTTTTATGAGGAATAAAAGTCTATGTCTGCTGTTATTATAACAATGAATGTTTAAAACCAATACATTATTCACAAATAGATAAAAACCATCCATCTTTATTTAGTATAAAAAAATACTAAAATCGCCGAAATTGTAATATCAGAGATAGTAATGTCACAGAAAAACTGTGAGTAACAGAACAAACCTGATTACATATTTGAAGTCAATGTAAAAAATATATATTAAAGAAACCAATTAATTTTCTTGTGACAAAATTCGCGTTGATCAGTGTAATCGTATATTGTAATAATAATACGGTAAAGAAGGTGAAATATAGTACAAGTATGATATAGTTTGACGTAGCCGATATCTCAATACAACTGAATACCACAACCACGTACAAATAATGATATAAATATCTCTCTTTTTTCCTCTTTTTTTTCCTTTCTTTTTCGGCGGGATCGTTACGGCAGTGAATTTACGAGATATCAAGTCTCAAACGGCGAGCAAGCAAAATATCAGCCAAAATGTAGGCCATTTCGGGGAATTGGGGCGAGCTTACCTTCCATTAGTTGGTAAGGGAAAACCGTCCAATGCCCATGATACCTGAGGTGTAGGATTTCCCGCGGCGGAACATTTTAAGGACACGGCGGGTCCTGGTTGAAGAGTTTGCTCGATGAACGAGTACAGGAGCACAGGCGGCGCATCTGGAACGTTAACGTGTAAGACGAACATAATTACGCGAAGAATGTGTGTCGCTAGCCGTTATCGTTAATCAAAGTCATTGGAACGCGAAAATACCCGGCCATTTAAAATAAAAAGGAAATATCCGAGTGGAAGTGGAATTGATGTGAATTCGATATCGCGGATAAACCTATTGCTCGTTCCTAAAAATTATTACAAGTACGCACCCATGTTTAATTTATATTCCAAGTTCAGTATTTAAATTTGGGATTAAAAGATTGGAAACTATTATATTTTCGTGTATCTGTATTTATTTTCGCTATGAAAATGTGGATTAGCGATATAATCCGCACGAGTACTTCGACCCGACAATAAAACGCGAGTGCAACGGGAATTAAACGAACGGTTACGAGCAAACCGTAGGAAGAAGAAGGCGAGCGAGGGCCACGCGATATCCTGATCCTGAAAGCCGCCACGCCCAGCGCACATCGCGATGGAGTACGGGAGACAATGGGCCCGCCGTCATGGAAGCGCCATGCGGATATCTCTTTTCTTCGTCGACGTTATTTCAACAATAACATGAAGAAAACAAGACTGAAACGCGAGAGAGCGGGAAGAGAAGATTTTATATGGATTCATCGCGACGCTGAAGAGCTGGAGATCGAACGACTGCGTTGATTTTTCCGGCTACGCTCGTAATTAAAAGTGTCGATTTCACCATCATTAAAAAAGCTCTGCTGTCGCGTCGCGGAAAGGACGCGGGTCTACCGTCTACGAGAAGAAGAAGGGTGGAAGACTGGGAAGAATGCCGGATTCTCGGTGCTTCTCGTATTCGCGAATCCGTGAGCAAATTGATGAATCCCGCCTCGATGCCTCCCGGCGATCATCAGCGCGCCCGTCATAGCCGCGACATCGCGGTTCTTCCACCTCCGGTCGATGAAATGGAATTTTAAGTGATGGTGATAGCGACCGACGCCGGCATTACAATATCTTGGAGGAAAATGTTCCCCATTCAACAGGAACATCTTTCGTTGCTTTTACGTTGATTGTACGTTCCGCGATTAATGCCCATCGTTGGAATATCCGTCTAAAGTGTGTGAATTATCGGAGAAATGTGATGAGATAGCGGCAGAAGTTGGCGAACATACATCGTCGACGTATACATTCGCATAACTACTACGATATAAAAATCTAGATTTCATTTTTTATAGCGCCATAAAAATATCCCACCGCAGCAAAGTAATTGGATTTATGCTTTTGTTTCGCGACTATTTCGCAACGGACCAATATAAAAACGGCAAATTAAAACATTCGTACGTTAGTCGAATTGGAAAAAACGCGTTCCCGGCGCGCTCGGCCAGCTTGGTCCGAAACACGAGGAATTCATTTTGAGTAATTTGGCAGTTCTGTTCGCTCGAGGAAATGACTTTTCTGCCGCCGCTTCTATTCTGTTGCGTGCCACAGAATCCACGCTTTTGCACCGACGCTTGAAATTGTAGTGAACGAAACGTTTTATGTGCAGCGGCGATACACGATGTTCGTGAGGTCCATACGTACTACGCTGATACCGGTCCAAGAGAGAATGAATAAAAAAAAGCTCTGTAAAAATCAATTTTACCATGCGCGCGCGCTTAATTTTTTGCTGCTAAATTATTAATAAGCAAACATAATATCGATTTTAGAACATCAACGATGTGCAAATTTTCTTTTTTTTCTATTTTTCTGAAACAGAACCAATCCACGGCAGAGTGATTGAATCAATAAAGCGTCCGCTAATCGCGAGAATATCGGTAACTGGTGGGCCAATCGCACACAGCTATTCTGCAGCGTAGATTTTACGAGTGAGTGGTGCTTGAATTTCGCGGAATGCATTTCGCACAATTTTCCAGGCATACTCTCTCCCTCTCCCCTCCCCCCCCTCCCTCCTCCTCTCCT